AACTTCATACATTTCTGTGTTCATTCTCATTTGTGATGGAAAACTCGCTTCTTCAATCACGAGTGCTCCCCCTGCCGCGGCGTGGCCGCGGCGCGTTTACTTGTTATTTTCATAGAAAGAATAGAATGGTTATTAGGATGAAAATATATATGATGATTGGATGTTGATTAGCTCTGATGTGGTTGCCATGTGAGAGCAGACAGCACACGAGCAGGCAGCGTCAGCATGCAAGTAGTCAACGCTCAAGCAGCCAGCGCACGAACAGCCAACACGCTAGTAGCTAACGCATCAGCAGCCATCATGCGCGCAGCCAGCGCACGAACAGCCAGCACACTAGTAGCCAGCACAGTTTCTAGCACCCATACAGCCATGCCCGCTGGCCATATCGAGGAAGATTGGTTCTACTCTATTGAGATTCAAATAAGAACAAAAAAAGAACAAAAAAAGAACAAAACAGACGAGATTTTGAAAAAAAGAAAAATTGTGAGATGCACCCGCCCTCCCTCTTTTCTCTAAGAATCCCTAATCCCTACCCCTCTCGCGCTACCTCATCTCCTCCCACTCTCCCTCCCCCCTCCTACATATTCAGCCCCCTGCCCCATCCTCCCCTTCTCCACTTTCTACCATCCTCTCCCTCCATCTCCCATCTCCTACCCCAGAAAAAGGAGGGTGAAGTAGAAGGGTATGAGAGAGGAGGGAAAGAAGGAGAGAGAAAGACTACCGATGAAAAGAGGTAACGAAGAGTGGATGATAATGATGATGATGAAGCTGTTACCCTTCTAAAAGAGTGTCTCCCTTCTCAGTAATGATGATGATGATGATGATGATGATCATGATGATGATGAAGATAATGACTATGATGATTAACGATGATGATGATGACAAAACTGAAGATGAAGTCGATGATGAGTACCATCTTGATGATGATACCACTGCTGCCTTGCTGCTGCTCTGTTCCTGTAGAAAGCTGGCTATCTCCTGCATTCACCCCGCAGCCCGTACTTGCCATCATGGCACTTCAACCAAAGAGGTACTCTTACCACCTCCAGGTCCTGCGCTCGCCATCGCCAGCACTTGCTCCACAGCGAATACGTGAAGACAAAGCCATGCCTCTCAATCACTTATTCCCCTCGCCAGCAAGCAGCCCGAATAGATGATGATGATGATTGTTGATGAGTGACATCCACCCCCACAAGCTACTGCCCTGCCACTACTTCATTTGCTGCCCAATTCAGCATCTGGAATCTGGGACTTTGATTGTCTTTCCAGGTAATGTCCCCGATGCATGAGAAGGTCTTATGAGTTGGGTGTAGACAGCGGAAAGTGTTAAACAGGGAGAGGGAGTTACACAGGTCTGCCACAAGTCGCTCATCCTCTTCTGCCGTGGGGGTTGAAGACCCCTGCGGGTTCCACCTGTCGTGCCATCTATCCAGGGGTGCATTGAACTTGCCCGCAATGGTCAAGGGAATTCCCTCGGCCATCTATCTAGGGCTGCTAGAAGTTGCCCCCAATGGTCAACGGAATTCCCTCGGGCAGCTTCTCAAAAAAGGACCTCCTTTCTCTCACCGTGTTCCGGATGTAGATGACCTCTAGTGCTAGCATCCCTAGGACTGAGACCCACCACCCTTCTACTTCATTTGCTGCCCAATTCAGCATCTGGAATCTGGGGGAGCTATGAAAAAAAAAAAAAAAAAAAAAAAAAAGGCCACCCCAGCCGAGCCGGGGTTTGGTGCGTGAGCCCGGAATGCCTGATGTGGCCAGATCATGTTGTGGGCTCTATGATGTTGCGGTTTGTCCATCAGGTGTGTCTCTTGCACACAGATGGCATACCAGCCACGTCCTTCCACCTACCCCTTTGAGCTGATTCCAGACGGCCTGCCTTTTATTCAGGTTTACCGTGGCCAGCCCATTTACATTGAGTGAATGCAAATCAAGATATGCATTCCATGCACTGTTTCCAGGCCGGGTTCTTGCAATACAAGGCCTCAATTTCTCCCATGGTAATCAACAGGAGCATAGAAAACAGGAAGGGGGGTAGAGAGCCAATAGGAACACTAACTTCCCAAACATCCAAAGCAATATAGTCATAAAAGCAGGGTGTTTAGAGGGCACAGTATGCCATGGGCCTGATACAATAAGGTGGTGTGCCAAGGATGTAGAATAGGACGCTGCACCTGGTTTCCAGCAGGTGATGCTCCCCACTAATGGACCAGAGCAAGCGGCAGACGGGGTATTTGGTGGGGGATGCTCTTATCAACCCTACCAGTAACCCCGCTATTCAAAAAAAAAAAATTGGACGATTTTCAAACACAGCGAGAGTGTCACCAATCTGGGATATGAACCGCATGCCAAAAGCCCCCCAGGGTAGCTCAATCAGTCCAAGAGTACACAACTATAACTTAGATACGAGCTCGGTCTAAAAATTGTGGAACCGTCTGTCAAAATAACAGCCCTCATCAGACGAACCAATAAAAATTCCTTGAGCCAATGCATAAAGCGCTAAAGCCTAAAAGCCTAAAAGCCTAAAACCTATTAAATTTTGTAGCCTTCAGTAGCTATTAGCTAATACCTCATGTGGGCCTACCATTCAATCAATGGCTCCACTTCAGAAGAAAATACTCTGATCCAAACATTTTGGAGATTTGTCTCATGTGCAATAATGTTCGACATGAGGACTTAGCCCATAGCCTGTTAGGATGCATTGCAACATCCTGGGTCTGGGACAAAGCGAGAAGACCTGGGTACTTCCTATCCACAATTTCCCGCTTCCCTCCCTTCCCCCGTCCCCCCTCACAACCCTCCTAGCCATCAGATCGCCCATATGTCTGTGGAGAATCTGAAATTTGGTACCTGCTTCTCAGAAAAGCCACACTTTGGACCATACGGAAAACAAGGTGTGCCCAAACCGTAGATGGACATATAATGGAACAGGAAGCAGTGCGGCCTCATTAGATCGACGTACTACTACAGAAAGATGGGTGCCTCGTAGAACTGGGTCGAGTCCTGCATAACAAGGTGCATGGCAGGGCAGAGGTCAATGCTTATGAACCTCATCAAGTTATCACAACCATACAAGATGTCAAGATCAGTCCGGCAGGAAGACTTGCTAGCAGCCCCAATATTTCATTTTGTAGTGGAAGCAATAGCCAACTTTCTGTGAAAAGACACATTGATAGAGAGATTGACGGTTGATAGGACAGGAGAACATGGTTCCTTGTACCCACATTGTTGCTCTTCGCCGACGGCCATCAGAGCCATGAAATCATGAAATCATACAACGGATAAATATTAAAGAAAGAAAATGAAACGACTTCAATATTGTGACGCTACCATCTTCCCTCACTCCATACTCAACCCTTCCGCTCATACGTCACTCAGATTGAGTGCAATGTTTCCCTACGCTATCCCTTTTATTACTTATAATACTTTGTTTCATAGTTGCGGCGCACATCGGTGCGCCGGTTCGTGCACGGTTTGCTCACGTCGCGCCGCGCACCGCACAGCGCACCGCCACGCTGCGCACATCGATAAATAGGGGTCGCTGAAAGAAAAAAAAAATTTTGGGCTTTCGGTAGGACGGCGGGCCCCCACCCCGGCAAAAATGACGATTGGGCCGCGCCACTCGGTAAACCGGCCGCGCCCCCCTGCAAACTTTTTTTGGGGGAAGGGCCTGCCGAATTTGAAAATTCGAATTCGGCAGGCCCTTCCCCCAAAAACTTTTTCGAAAACGGGGACGGCACCGGCGGGAAGATGCTAGAGCAGCGGCAGGAAGATGCTGGAGCAGCGGCGGGAAGGTGTTTGAGCAGCGGCGGGAAGGAGGGAGGGAGGGACATGGCGGACGAAGG